AGCCCTACATCGTGCAGGGGAGCGTTCGAATCCTACCTCCTACCGCAGTGAAATCATTGATCACCCACTATATAACGAACCATACCGCTACTCGGCTGGAAGAAATAATTTGTTTACTTGATACATCGACCATTGATATTGATCAAGTTACATCGTTGTGCAAGAAATATAATTTATACGACGCATTCATATATGTGTGGACTCGTACGTTTGGTGATTACGTTGGTCCCCTAATTGAGCTTATCCATATGATTCACGGACACAGGGGTCCTAATGTCAATGGAAATGCGGATATCGAAGCAAGGGACCACTCACATGCGATGAAAATGTTCCCCTATCTGTCGTATGTGTTGACCGGCAGAATATACCCCACCGGAGAAGACATGCCTGATCTCGAAGCTTCCAAGGCAAAAGCTGGGATTTATGATTTTCTTTTCTCGGGAACTTCTATGACTTCAAGTTCAAAAAAGCCCGCCTCCCAGGACTCCTTTCCCGACCTTCGAAAAATCCTTGAATTCGATACGCCTAGTTTTATGAGTATGCTTAACGAAGCCTTTGAGGATAGCTTCTTAAATGACGCCACTGATCAAGCAAGTAATGGCGCGATAATACTAGCTTCTGGTGATTCCACGGCACATGGCCTATCTATTAACCGCCAATACTTAATCAGTATTTTACTCGAAATTATGGAATCTTCCAACTTTGGCCCAGAGGAGACTATCTATCTTGATATGTTTATTGCCCGAAATCTACCGAAATACCCTCAGTATACTCTGCTATCAGGATCAACCCTCCAACAAGTGCTTGTGAGGTTATGTCACTATCCTAATCCGGAAATGATAGGCGACTGCCAGCTCAGCGCAGAATACCTACTATCAATATATCGCCCGCCCGATATCCAGGCCTTAATTCCCTTGTTAAAGAGAGCCCAATTCTACCGAGTTTTAAAGTCTACTTATAAAGCAGAGAAGCAATTTTCGGATCTTCTGTTAACTTATCTTGAAGATCCAGAAGATCAGCAGTCAATTTTCGGCTGCATCCGTGATTGCCTTCGCCCAAGCTCGAAACTGAGCAAGAAGCAGCGTCGCGATGTGCATGCCGTAGTTAAGGACCGCGCTGCAAAAATCGTCGATATTGATGCGGAAAAAGCTGCTCAAACTGTTCAAGACACAGCCCCCGATTTGCATATAGAGTTTCTCCGCGTCCTAGAAGATGATTCTCCACGGCAATATTTATATCTCAACACCCTATTCGAACCGGAGTGGAAACGGCCGGGCGAGACTGAACTTGCAGCGAAGTTTGGAACTCACCTTGTTGAACGCTATGTTCAACTAATGTGTCAATATAACCCTTCGCATGTCACGGATTTTGTAGATATCCTGAAGATTGGAGATCTCAAACTCGATACGGTACTTCCTTCGATGGAAAGTAGTGGGGCTATCGATGCTGCAATAATCCTACTAGCCCGTCAAGGGGAGGTGCGTGCTGCAATGGACCGGCTAATCAAACACATCGGGACGCTTGAGGCCGGTCTGTCAGGATTATTACAGAATGCAGATGAAAGCCCTGATTCAGCAAGCATGGAAGAAGCGGTCGTTGATCTTATCCAGTCCTTGGATAAATATACTCGTGTTGGAATATGGGTCTGTCTACAGCAGTCGAAAGCGTCTAGAAAATCTCGTGGAGGGAACAAATTCAACAAAAGGGGCGCGGCAGTCTTCCAGCTACCGTTATCATTCGAAGAGAATCTCTGGCTTGATCTTATTGAAGCGATCGTCCGTATAGCTCGCAATATGTCGCCTTTGCTGAGGGAAGTTTCGCCAGGCTTCGAGAGGGATACCCTAAGGGAAAAGACTGATAGCACTAAAATCGGGGAGATTTCCTCCTCTTTTCGGGTTCTTGTTCAGCAAGTATTTACTGCTCTGTTGACGAGCACCACAAAATCCGGCGATAGACCTGGTGAAAGAACTGATCTCTCCTTTTTGCGTATTCTGCGAGCTTTCCTCACACGGGTAGCTGCTGCTTCACCTTCTCTTTCAGAGCTTCGTTCTGTAATCGCATCAATATTTTCTGCATACGCTTATGAGGAATCTCTACTTTCCCTCGCCAATTCAATGCTGGACAAGGACCTTTTTGTGCATGTGAACGAAATTACCAAACTCCGTCAACGAGGGTGGAGACCGCGAGGGCAGGTCTGTGAAGTTTGTCGACAGCGAGTATGGGGGCCCGGATCAGGGGCCTGGATTTGGGAAGCGTGGCAAAATAAACAAGACGTTGATGCGAAGCGCGGACAAGCAAGACAGCTCGACATGGCTGGAAATACGAATCTACATTCGTACGGAAAGGGCAAGGAACCAATGTTACGAGACGATGCGAATGTACACACATCGAGCCAAAATACGAACCTGACGACACAGGTGGATGTTAGTGGAAAACTCACACATCCCTTCGGGCCGCAGGAACCCCAGCTACTCGGTCCTGGACAGGACGTTGGACCCCTAATCGTGTTTGGCTGTCGGCATCTATATCACCGACCATGCCTGGTGAACGAGGCAGAGAAACGAGGCTTCCATGGCCAATCTACACCCAGTCATCTGGGCGATGGGTCGGACTTGCCGTGTCTGATCTGCACCGAACACGGGTGACACCGTGAGAGGAACGAATGTCTCTTTGCACTTTGCTTTTAAATTCCGCCCTGACTACCTGCCTCTATATATATCGCTCCAGTTTGGCTCCAGCCACTCCTCTCTGTTCACCTCCTCTCTGTTCACCTCGACTCTGTTCACCTCGACCCAACCCCACCTGTTCTCCTAGCTTTGCCCATATATCCCACAATTGCATCTTGTGCTTTTCCATTCCTTTCTCTTGTTTCGTCCCTGTTTCATCTTGTCGTGAATTACGCCTGTTTACTAGAAAGGATTTCATGATTTTATATGGAATGACATTCTGGTTCGTCATGCCTTAGCTACATATACGGAGTATATACGGAGCATATACGAGTGTCACGTGTATAGTGTATACGTTTTCTTCATACCATTCATGTTCTCGTCGAAGTGATCGTCGACTTGCATACCACTTGCCGGGGTTCTAACCATATTAATTCTAAAATACATTATGCTTCAACTACCTTCGTGATTTGAAAACAATGGCTGAGCAACGCTCCCTTGAGTTGACTTCCTTTCTGGGCCAGGTATCTGCACCCCCTGTCCTCTCGCATGCGGGAGGGTGGGTGAGTTGTGGAAGTTAGGCTAAGCACGGATAAATTTCCATTTCCCATCCAATCGGCGAGGCGGGAAAGATCCTGTGGCGCATTTCCTCCATTTTGCTCCCAGCGCGACCCTTCGATGCGGCTGAAAACTAGAGATTTTTTTATTAGCACCGAGTGCCAGTTAAGTTGTTTGCCAGTTGGTAAAGCTAAAAGTCGCTAACTGCTTCGCAAATTTGCCATTGTTGGGCCAAGCGTTCTAAAGTCCTAAGGAGTCTTTCTTCTTGCTGACGGTCATGTTGTTTGTTTCCGCCTGGTACCGGAACAGGGGCTTCACTGTGGAGGCGCGTATATTAATGTCACGTTTCCCCATGTAGGACGAATAGTTTTAGTAGCTGTGTAAGGTGTAACACCTCCTTCAGGATCTTTTGCCCGGTGCAAGTCGTTCTTAGTGGCGCTCCTTGTGATTCTTCCCGAAAAAGGGGGACAAAGGAGAACGAGGATGGTTTACGCATAGCGGTCCAGGCTTACTTGCAGCCAACTTCTGTCGCAGTCTAGGCCCTGCCAAACTCGTGCCCAGAGCCCGATAGTCAGCCTCGGAACAAAATCTCCGGATGTTGTGCACTGTGCAGTGCAGGTGGGTGGGTGTGCAGGTGGTGCGAATCAGGGGGTGACTAAGCAAACCTTAAACGCAAACTGCGGAGGAGCCTCAACTTTATTTCGTCCTCATCTTTCTCGATCAGGAATCAATCGGTATTAGAGAGAGTAGCGACGGAGAGCATGATGACGGGTGAAAAGGCAGCAATTGAACTGTAGCCTCTTTGGTGGTGGTGGATGAATCCTGGTGCTGTGGTTCGGTCGTTGAATCGTGATATCTTCGGGCGCTCGTTTCTGCTTGACAACTGGCGTCCAAGGATCCTCGTTAGCCTGGCGCCGTTTCGCTTCGGAAGTTACCAACCCTCGCTGATTGGAGTTCCTGATTTATTCCAGACCGACGCAACGCCGCCAAGTCGGACTCGTTTCGACCGGCGCTTCCGTGCTCACTTTTTTAACCACTTACAAAAACATCCGCAAGGTGGAAAAGTGGGCTGCAGTTTCAAGAAGCAGCAACATGTTTCCAAACAGAGCGTGGCCCTTTGGTTGTTGATCTTTGTTCCAGATATCCAGTTGCGTATTCAACAGGGCGTGATGAGGGGTTCTCCTGATGCTTGGGGAATTGTCACATCCAGCCCCCCCGAGGCAAAATTTTCCTGACTACGACTGGATAATGGCTCGTAATGGCTCCTTGTCGACCACATCTCGTACGGGCGCTCACTCCCAAGACGTGGAGGCTGTGGCTCTTGATAGCTACGCAGCGTATGGCTCTGGATGTCTTACGTCCCACGCTAGGTAGTTGGATTCACCCAACTACTGGACTGTACCGCTACATTGACCTCCACTGGCGCCGCTACATGGACTAATTCAGGAACACTGGGCTGTTTGCTGTCAGGGTCAGGGCCAAAGCTGATTTTATAACAAGATGATGATGACCCCTAGAAACTTCTCGCAAGTTAATCTTTTTCTGTTCCCTTTCGTTGCTGGTTTCTTCTTTTCAGTCAAACACATTCCTTCTGCGCATCCTTTTTATGTTGCAGGTATTGCAACTATTCCATTCCTTGACTATTGTGTTTTGCATAATTACGCTCTTTTCCTGTGAAGAGGTTTGCATCTCTTCACCATTTCGAAGTTATAAAACGTTCCACGTGAAGACTAGAGTCGACATCATTCCTTGAGCAACATCAACCACAACAACAAAATGAGGGCTACCAAGCTCGCGTTGCTTGCCGCTCTGGCCAAGCTGAGTACTGGCGCCTACGTACTCCAAGATGATTATCAACCCTCGAACTTCTTTGACGACTTCGCTTTCTTTGACGTAAGACCCTATTCACTCCTCGCGCAATGAATGGGGTGCGACCTCTGGTGTTCCCAACTAACTATCAACAGGGACCGGACCCAAGTAATGCATATGTTACTTACGTTGATAAATCCAAAGCACTGAGGGACGGGCTTGCTTCAAATAATAACGATTTTGTCTATCTCGGAGTTGACCATCAGAATGTTGCAAGGGGTCGTGGCCGTGAGAGTGTTCGGCTGGAGACGAAGAAATCATACAAACACGGCCTGATTGTGGCTGATATCTCTCACATGCCCGGTAATATCTGTGGAACCTGGCCCGCGTTGTAAGTCCTAGTCCATCCCAACGCGTCGATGTCCATCCCCCTCGCGATCTTTTTCTAGTCCCCAGTACTCTGACCACCATATAGCTGGGCAACGGGGGCCACATGGCCTGATGATGGCGAATTCGATATCATCGAGGGTGTCAACAAACAAAACAAGAACGTGGTTGCATTGCACACCACAGCAGGCTGCAAAGTGGAAGACAATAATAAATATAGTGGGATACTCGTCACCAAGGACTGTGATGTATACTCTCCAAATCAACCAAGCAACCAAGGATGCTTGTTCAGGGCCCCTAGCGCAACTAGCTACGGAACTGCATTCAACAGTATTGGCGGAGGTGTATATGCGACTGAATGGACTAGCGATTCCATCAGTGTCTGGTTCTTCCCGCGCTACCAAATTCCCTCCAATATCAATGACGAGAACCCAGATCCGTCGACCTGGCCCAGACCAATTGCACACTTCACGGGTTGTGAATTTGACAAATTCTTCCAGGAACAGCGAATTGTAAATAACCCCCCCAACCTCCCAACTGCCATCCATTCAAATTGGGGTCTTCATGTAGTTCTGAACTAACCAAATTCTTTTTCATGCCTGCAGATCTTCAATACCGCCTTCTGTGGTGACTGGGCCAAGGCTACCTGGAACGAGAACGGGTGCGCTGCGGGAGGCAGGACTTGCGAAGACTATGTCAAGAACAACCCTTGGGCATTCAGTGAAGCCTTCTGGTCCATCAACTACATGAAAGTTTTCCAGAACAAGCAAGGCGATACGTCAACTAGCACCACTACATCCTCAACATCATCGACGTCTTCGTCGTCAACTGAGGCCCCGACTACGACTATGACCACGTCATCGACATATGAGCCTTCTGTCTCCAGCTCTACTGCCCCGGAACCTTCGCAATCCGCGTCCACGCCTAGCGAATATCCTCAACCATCGACCGCTGAGCCTACCGCATCCAGCTCTTCCTACCCCAAGTCTTCGTTTGCGTCTACTGACTCTCCTGTGCCTACCGACTATCCTGTTCCATCATCTGATGAACCCACTGTCCCCAGTGCTACCTACTCAGAATCTTCGCCTGTGCCTACCGATTATCCTGTTCCATCGTCTGACGAACCCACTGTTCCCAGTGCTACTTACTCAGAATCTTTGCCATCGGCATCCGCACCTAGCGAATATCCTACTGGGACCGCTTCCGTTGACCCGACTGACGTCTCATCCTGCACGCCACCACCAACGCAGAGCTGCATAACCTATACGACCAAAACGACAATCGCGATCGTAGTGACTGCTCCTGAGAGTTACAAGGAAGCTATCCAGACAGAGTCAGCTGAGGATGAGACAGAGCCAGCTGCTTATCCCACAGAACCAGCGGGATACCCCACAAATGACAAGTACTGAAGCGACGACAGCATATCAACGAGCACGCTGCTGCAGCTCATCATTGATAGGTAAAATAGAATGCGCCTCTTGACTCCCTTTTGTAATAGCTCTGTTGGAATTTTTACTTGGGTGTGATATTCGTTTTTCCTTCATTGTTCGTGCTCTCTTGGACGAGCAATCAGGGGCCAGGCCTCGCTTTGGTCTCCTTTCTTTTTTAGGGAGTGTTGATGATGTGTTTGATAATGTTTCTACTTCTGTTAATCTAATTATATTCTTCCTATTTTTCTTTGCCGGCTTTGCTTGGGTGAAAATGCTTATTTGGGTGAAATGGGAACGGACGAAGTGGAAACACCACTTTGGATGGCCCGATCAATTTTTATTATTGGGGGAAAATCCGAAACTGAATACAACGCACGCAGGATAAGCACAGCCAAAAAGGCCCTCTTTTATTATTATTACCTTATATAATTTTAGATGAGAAGTTTATGGGCTTGAATCTGTTAAATACCCTGCGATTCTTTGCTAGTAGTTTTTGTTTACGAAGGTGGCTACGGATATATATACATATATATACAGAACAGACAGCCCATAGAAATTTGACATTCAGTCACACATCTCATCTCCCTTTGTCTATCCTAATCATAGACCTACGTTCTAAGTATTCTGATTTGGACCCTTCAATTTCTCTCACCCGTTTTGATAATCGGGAACGCCGATCCCTACATTTTGAGCCTCACATTAGCTTTGTTGTCTGTATGTGCTATTACTATTACTGCGCTCTTCATAAATTATAATCACCAATCTTAATATTGTCAAGGTGAAACAAGCACATGAAATAACTCGTTAAATGTTTGTACATGTACATTGCAATAATCTTGAGGTATATAATTAAAGTAAAGCAAGATCCAATCCAGGTTTTTGCGCCCGCGCGCCCTATACACACCTCGACTCTTTCCCGCGCATGCTAACGGAAGCCTGGTTTACCGCAACAACCGAAAAAAAAAAGTAAATAAGAAGAAAATGGACAAAAAGATAGAAGTCGGTCTATATAAAAAGTAGCGACTGCTGTATTGCACAGTATTATCATCACCCTTATCCTACCTGGAAACCCAGCTGGTCCCTCTTATCATCTGTCAACCGGCCCCATTCCAGCAGCAGCCGGAACATGTAGATTTCCATATCTTCCTTCCGAAGCGCCTTCTCTGCCCACTTCCGGCCCTCTTCGGCTATAAACTCTCCTTCGCGCGTGTGTGGTTCCATCAATATCTTCTGCTTATTATTATTATCGTTGTTGTTCTTGTTCTTGTGGTCCTTTTTAGCATTGTTGTTCTCACTATTCCTCCTCGCCCACATCGTCCGGCTGGGTGGTGGTTTTTGCTTTGTCTCGCCGCCAGCTTTATTCCCATTACCATCACCATCACCATTTCTCTTATTATCCTTATTGGCATCCGGAATAGGCCCAGCAGCATTAGAGTCCGGCAGCACAGCCTCCCTCGCGCCAGAGAAGTATGCCAGGGTGCTCCACAGGCCGTGCAGTCTAATATCGATAGGGACGAAATGGTGCCACGCGGTAAGCCGGCTATCCAGCCACTGGCGAAACAGGCCCGTGCGGAACGGGAGACTCCTACTCTGCAGAAACGGGAGGAAACGACCGCTAAACCCAGCCCCGTCGGCATCCATTAGGAACCGGTATTTCCAATGTTCTTGGAAATCGGTTGAAGGGCCCAGGCTGAATTCTTTCTTTTGGGAAACGCAATCTGATAAACTGCAACGGGTTATTTGGCCTGCGAGGTAGATGGAGGTTTGTAGGTCGAGGGCTTCGGGGATCTCGGAGGCGGGCATGTTGGTATATGTGTAGGAGGTTGAGTTTCTTTTTGATGTGGAAGAGGAAGGGGAAGGGAGGAGGATTGAGACGGAGTTTGAGGTGTGGTTGTTGGCGAGATGGACAATGCGTTGGCGGGTCATGCCCTTCCATTGGCCGGAAGAGCTATATCCTTCGGATGTGGTACCGCGCCAGAAAAGGGTGGACTGCTTTTCGGAGTAAGGCGCATCTGGATGTTCGTCTGTGGGTCTATATATGACTTTGTCTATATAGTTCCACGAGCTCGGATAGAGGATGTCGTTAAAACCGGATACTTTGCTCTGGCTGAAAACTGGTAAGAGTGATTTGGATACTCTAAAAGCGGAAGGGGAGAGGTAAAATCCGCTCAGATAGGCCAGATCAGGTTGGTGGCAAATATCAGAGGCCAGCGTCCAGTCGCTTAAGAACTGTTCGAGGGAATGTGGCCTGGCACAGTTCAAACAAACGTTTCGTTTGTCCCAAACGAATGACGTTTTCGCCATCGATGAAGGGGGACATACAGAGCGCCCAACGAGATCATATACTTGTTGAAAGGAAGCGTCTGTAAAAAGCTGATCTGCTCCCTTCTTTGCAGATTCGCTGAGTTCCCAAGTTGAGGCGCGATTCTCGGACCAGGACCCAATCAGTTTATCAGTGCCCTGGCGGATGTGGCTTTTGGCAGAACCGTGGAGAGCGTTGATTTTCTCCCAAGGAACAGCGACTCGGCATTCATCATTCAAATTGAAAGCTAGGTCCATGTCGGGCAGGAATTGTGAGAAAGGGTTGATCATTTTCGCTACCCCTTCAACCATCCATCTGTGTGTTGGTACAATGCTTTCTTGTATTTGGGTAGTTCCACCACGAACGCTCACAGTAGCCATATCGTTCGAAGGGTGGGATGCCATGGCATTAGTCAACTCACGTAGCGTTCGAGGGCTTAATGCGCGGAAAGGGAGAAGGTCTTCGTAGATTTGGTCATAATCATCAATCACTGCGGAAGACCTCTCAGTCGCATACTTATACCATAGATCGAAACCACTATAATCTAGGTTAGTAAAGAATTCGAGATACATAATAGAAAACTAGGTGAAGTTGCGTACGGTGGCGGATGCTGTTTGTAACGTCGCTGATATTCAGCTACAGCTTCTTGAAGGTTTTGGCTCGATTTCGCGCTGGCCACCCATTGGCCAAAATTTGTTTTAGCTCGAGATATAAGAGTGTCAATCGGATGGCGCGGGGTTTCGTTCTTCGCTGTTACGAGTAGCACGAAGGATAAACCAATCAAAGCCAAAAATACCAATCGTATCCAGCTTCGGGGCTGCCATTGTTTTTTTCTATCCTGGTCGGTGGCTGTACTGGAACGCCAGTACCAATATCCCGAAACATGCAGCAAAATGATGGAAAAGCCAGCAGTAAACACTGGGATAACAGGAAAAGCTTGGAATGCGGTCCACAGATGGGATAATTGCGATATACAAACAAATGTGAATGAGAAAAGGAAAGATATTCCCAGAATTCTAATTTGCGTTACCTTTGGAGTCAAGTTAGCAATGAAGGCGTCCAGAGAAATGTTTTCGAAACAGAACTCACAATATATGAAGCTGAGACACAGGCGCATGTAAAAAGGAGGCTCAGCTTCATAACGCTGCCAATGTACGGGAGGGAGAACTGGAGTAACCACTCCCTTTGTTTAGGCAGGATCAAATATATCGGAAATGCAGCAAGTAGCCATATTACTGATACACCCTGACCCATCGAAGTAGAAGTTAGATCAGATGACATCTTGTACACTACATCCCCCTAAAGGTGCTTACTTACAATCAGCACGAAGCCCCAGAGCACAGTAGTTTGTACCCTCCGTCCATCACTGCGACGAGTGCGCTGGCGGCCGAGTTCCGAGAATGCAATGAGTATAACGGTATCCAACACTAAACCAAGAATTTGCAATAAAGCCGTAAACAACGCAGAGGCACCGGTCAAGGGGCAGATATAAGTAGATTTCCAGCCATTGCTCATGGAGGAAGTGAGGAAAGCGGAGGTGATTAATAATAGAATCGGAAAGGTAGACGCCAGTGATCGTTTCGCATTGTCGTCAAAGCCTTGGGTGTTATTAATGCGATTGGCTCGTCTATTGGCCCAATATCCGTATATCGAAAGGAGAAGAGGAGTCAAGGCCTACAACCAGCGAAGACATTATTGTCAGCCTTTGGGAAAAAAATAGATATATATAGGTTATGTTCAAAATGAAAATTGGCATTGTAGCTTACAAAAGAGGCCGGTTTCAAACATTCCGCATTATGCACGATGTGACGTGACACTTCAATGCGCAAAGCCAACGCACATATAGCCAGCCAGGTTATACGCGATGCTTTCCGTGTTTGTGCGCTTGTGAGTTTGCGCAGCTTCTCTATAGCCTTGGAGGTATCGGATGGGGAATGTGGGAGAGAGTCTGAAAGCGGGATCGAATCATCGTGCTCGTCGGCGTCGGGGTGTCGCGAAGGAGAAGTGACAAAAAGGCCGAATACCAGGAGGAAGAGGCCGGATAATGCGGAGGTAATTGCAGCAGTATGCGCAGGCCGGTCTAATGTTCGTCATCCCCTTACTTTTTAGCATCTGTCAACTATTGGGGATCCCACTGCGATCGAAATAGTAGTAGAAGAGAACATACCAAAAACGAGGGAGGACTCTGCGGAGAGCTTCAATAATGAGACGCTGATGATAAATACACTATAGCGACGTTAGAATTGTGCGCATTTCATTTTGCCCCCCTATCCTCTCTCTCTAGGAACCAGGGGCCGTACGTTGATGCAGTGTACTTGATCGTCCCACGGGAGATAGTGTCCATTCCTAGGCCTGATCCGCGATGGAGCGCAAAACGTGCAATAAGAAATACCACACGTTTGACTCTAGTAAAACCTAGTATATCTCAATGAACTTGACGGAACTTCCCCCCCCCTCGGTGCTCGCAGTTCTCCTAGTCCAAGAAACAACTCCACAGTTATAGCAAAGGCGACAAATCCTGGAAACGGGGGGCCAATCAAACCCCTAGAGCATGTCCGCTGTAATATGGCGATCCAGTTATCCCACGCAGGCTCGGCTGATGCGAATCGCCATAAATAAGGTATTTGGGGGTGATTTGGAGTTTTGGTGGGAGGTAGGTAAGCTGAGAGGATCTCGATTCGTATTTATGGAAAGCTCAGAACTCTGGCTGGATATTCAGAAGGATAGTGTCCGAACCATAGACAATTCGCAAAGCCAAAACTCCGGGGAGATGGGGAGATGGACGGTGACGGGAGTTTAAATCCAGAAGGTTTCGAGTTATATTAATAATAACTATAATACCCTAAATAACTATCGCTGAAAAATCTCAAAACGAGTGTCTCAGCTCACGCAATGAGAATTGATCAGCCAGGCAAGATCCAGCACAACTAGTCTCGTGTTAGCGGCGTATAGAGTATAGTATAGAGCCCGACCACGGGCGGACATGGAGGTTTTTGAGTTGCTGGTCTGTATTTACAGAGTAGATAGCCTTGAAATATCGAGAACTCGCGATGCTATTCATATTATTACGAATTGAACTCGGTAGAACCTCCGCCTTGGTGATTTGTAGCTCACTATCAGAGAACGAACTGGCTTACGAACTGCCCACTGCGAGGGGTAACTAGCTAGTTATTCATTAAATATTGCACCCAGGACCCCCTATATAGTTAATGTCTAGTTATACGAGAATGCTACCCATGCGACTCTTTTGGCGCTCAACACGGACAAGAAGCCTGGAGAAGCCCAATTATTCAACTAGAAGAAATTTACTATTTCTTGAGAACCTTTTCATGTTCGTCCTCATCTACAGCGTAATATTGATTTATTGATTCATCCTTGTTGATCAAAAGTTTAGGGCTGATCGGTTTGGATAAAGTTAACTCTATGGATATATTTAAGGTTGTTATTGCAATGCTCTAATTGGCTGATCTCGATTGCTTATTTTCTGTTGCTCACTTCCTTTTTGGGTAAGACCCGTGACCCTCGGCATAACCTTCCCTTCTTGGGAAGTTTATAAAAGGAGTAATTTTACCCGGCCGCCAATTTTTATTTTTATTTTTATTTTTTATTTCTTTTTTTTTTTTTTTGGTATGCGATATCAATGTGGGGAAGGGAGAACTACAGCGTAATGTAATAACTAATAGCTGTCTTTGACTAACAAAATAGCTTCACACAGCGTTGGGTTATTTGCTTGTGTGTTGTGGATTCCTGGTGCCAGATTGTCCCACCAATGAATTGAAATTTGCGTGACTTCAAGCAAGCAAGTTCGGCCGCCCTGCGTTCCCCTCCTCCAAAGCGCCAGCGCCAGCGCCCTCACGTTTTGTTCCGTCGGAGCCATGCCACGGAAAGCAATCGATTCCAGGATTACCTCCTTGATTCGAAATGGAATACAGGAGAAGAAGAGAAGCTTTTTCGTGGTCGTTGGAGACCGCGCCAAAGATGTCATCGTCCACCTCCACCATATAATGTCGAGCGTCGACGTTAAACAAAACAAGTCGGTTCTATGGGCATATAAGAAGGATCTGCTTGGATTCACTAGCCACCGAAAGAAGCGCGAGGCAAAGATCAAGAAAGAAATCAAGAGAGGGATACGAGACCCAAATACAGAGGACCCTTTCGAACTGTTCGTAACCCTACAGCAAATTCGCTATGTTTATTACAAGGAGACAGACAAAATTTTGGGAAATACCTATGGGATGTGTGTGCTGCAGGACTTTGAGGCACTTACGCCTAATTTATTGGCGCGGACTATTGAAACAGTTGAAGGTGGGGGACTTGTCATACTGTTGTTGAAGGGAATGAAGAGCTTAAAACAGCTGTACACCCTCTCGATGGATGTCCATTCCAGATACCGAACTGAAGCCCATGACGATGTTGTGGCACGGTTTAACGAACGTTTTATCCTTTCACTTGGAAGCTGCAAATCTTGCTTGGTAATAGATGATGAGCTTAATGTCCTTCCAATTTCTGGCGGCAAATACGTGGAACCGCTCCCTCCAGCTGACCCAAGCGACGAGTCTACCGACCCAACGAAAAAGGAACTAAAGGAGATCAAGGATAAACTGGCAGATACACAACCTGTAGGGTCCTTAGTCACTTTGGCGAAGACGGTAGACCAGGCGAAAGCTCTCCTCACATTTGTTGATGCCATCGCAGAAAAGACCCTGCGAAATACTGTCACCCTGACTGCTGCCCGTGGCCGTGGAAAATCTGCTGCTCTTGGTGTTGCCATCGCTGCAGCCATCGCATACGGCTATAGCAATATATTCATTACCTCTCCAAGCCCGGAGAATTTGAAAACTCTGTTTGAATTTGTCTTCAAGGGGTTTGATGCGCTGGGTTACTTGGATCATGTTGATTATACAATTCTTCAATCAACGAACCCGGATTTCAATAAAGCCATTGTGCGCGTTAACGTCCACCGCCAACACAGGCAAACAATCCAGTACATCCAGCCCCAAGATGCCTTTGCGCTTGGACAGGCAGAACTTCTGGTAATTGATGAGGCGGCTGCCATACCGCTGCCGCTAGTACGAAAGTTAATGGGCCCATATTTGGTATTCATGGCGTCCACCATCAACGGATATGAAGGCACAGGCAGATCCCTATCTTTGAAATTAATCCAACAGCTTCGAGAGCAATCGAGAGGTGGAGCTAAGAGTGGGGATGATACCGACATCGTTGACCGGGCGGCAGGAAAGTCCGTGAAGCATGGAGAGAAAAATTTCTCAGGCGGCCGGTCACTGCGAGAAATCACTCTTTCAGAACCGATTCGATACGCGCCTGGAGATTTCGTGGAAAAGTGGATGAATAAACTTCTCTGCCTTGATGCAACCCTCCCCAAGTCCAAAGCGAATACTCAGGGATGTCCTCACCCATCTCAATGCGAACTTCTTCACGTTAACCGTGACGTCCTGTTCTCGTTCCACCCGCTCCCCGAAAAGCTTTTGCAGCAGATGATGGCCCTGTACGTCGCTAGCCACTATAAAAATTCGCCAAATGATCTTCAGCTCATGAGCGACGCGCCCGCGCATCAACTATTTGTGCTGGTCCCGCCTACTTATCCCAACAAAGTTCCAGAACCACTCTGCGTAATCCAAGTGGCTTTAGAAGGTCGGATAAGCAAGCAGAGCGTTTTGCATGGTCTCAGCCGTGGACAACGAGCTGGAGGAGATTTAATACCTTGGCTTGTTAGTCAACAATTCCAAGACGAGGAATTTGCGGGACTTTCAGGGGCGAGAATCGTGCGGATAGCTACGAATCCAGATTACCTGGGCATGGGATACGGCTCGCGTGCCCTCGAGCTCCTTACTGATTTCTTCGAGGGAAAGTTTGCAAACCTATCAGAGGAAGATAATTACCCATCCGACGAATTGGTTAGAGTAACAGACGAAGAATTGGCAAATTCAAGCCTTCTGGATGATAATATTCGTATCCGAGATATACATTCCATGCCACCCCTCTTTGCAAGACTTAACGAGCGGCGCCCCGACGCTCTTGACTACCTTGGTGTTAGTTATGGTCTGACCCCTCCGCTTCACAAGTTTTGGAAACGTTCCCGCTTCGCTCCAGTGTATCTCCGACAAACCCCCAATGACCTAACCGGCGAACACTCCTGTGTCATGCTCCGCACCCTATCCACAGGGAGTAACGACACAAGCTGGCTTGGAGCCTACGCGCGTGACTTCCACAAACGTTTTCATGCCCTGCTATCGTACCAATTCCGCGACTTCCCATCCGTTCTATCGCTCAGCATCGGCGAATCTGCCAATGCAGTTTCAAAATCCGCCCCATCCTTCAAACCTTCCACTCTAACGAAGGCAGATTTGGACGCCGCATTTTCGCCCTTTGACCTAAAGCGTCTAGACAGCTATGCAAACAATCTACTCGATTATCACGTTATCCTCGACATGGTTCCCACGATCGCAGACTTTTATTTCTCCGGTCGTCTGAGCGGCGGCGTGAAGCTTTCCGGCGTCCAAAAATCAATCCTGCTAGCTATTGGCCTGCAGCGAAAGTCCTTTGACGATCTCGAGAAGGAAATCAAAGTAGCCGCTTCGCAGCTGATGGCTATGTTCATAAAGATTATACGGAAAGTTTCTTCCCATTTTAGGACTCTTGTCGAAGGCGCTGTAGCCGAGACACTGCCGCCTGCAGATATTGGCGTTGCTCCTAAGGATGCCACTGGAGTACATGACGATGAAATCATTGATGATCGATTCCGGCCTTTAGAAGTTGGCCTTGATGAGGAGCTACGAGAGGGTGGACAGGAGGTCAACAAAGAGCTGAGGGAAAAGCAAAGAGCCCTTATCGACGCGTTACCACTGGACCAGTAAGTTTTCATATTAACTTTTCCCCTACTTTATTCATTTCAAGATCAATTTACCCTGATATAACTAACCAGCCCTCTTTTCTTGTCGTTTAGGTACGAAATCTCCAATGGAGCCGCTGCCTGGGAAGACGCAGAAAAACAGGTGCGCACCTCTGTCAGCAAGAACGGCAGTATTCCAACAGTGAGCATCAAGTCATCAAAGCCTCTGAAGCGCAAGGCTGGTGAGTCTGCTAGGGAGATATACAATCAGGAAATCGAAAGTAAACGGGAGAAGAAGATTAAGAAGGGGACAGAGAGTAGAAAGAAGTAAAGTGAGAGAGATGAGTTTTTTACTCTGTTTTTTTTTCTTTTCTTCTTTTCTTACTGTCTTGTTATAATTACCCCTTCTTTTATTTTTTATTTTATTTTTTTTTTTGCAATTTAGATATATATTTTTGTTTATGTAATAAGGTAGAAGGTAATTTTTTTTCACTTTTCTGAAAATTAAGTTAAATTTGAGATAATTTTTATACTTTTATTTGTTCTTTTGCTGTTCTATATATTGTTAACATGTATTAATGTATTTATTTAATGTTATTTTATAATAGGCAATTCATATTCTGAATTTTTTACTTCAAAATAAAAATTTGTTATTAAATGAAATAAATATATTCTTTTTCTTTTAAAACTTCAACAGCTTAAGAAATTATATGTAAGAAATTCCGCTTCTTACAGATTCTTTACTACTATTTCTATCTCTTGTGTAATTAATAGAGTTAGTGACTCTTGACTATATATAACTATATAGACTGAAGTTTATAATTACTATTTATAACTTAAATTAAATACTATTATATATTTAATCTCTATATTTATCTTTTTATTATAAATACTTCTAGTAGCTAATAGTATATATTATATTAAGCTGTAAATATCTGAATAATTATCTATAAGTATTTATTCTTATATTTCAAGCTCTGTCAGTCAGAAATCATCTATTATAACTGAAAGAACTAGAAACTTATATACTTCAATCTCTATAAACTCTACTGTAAACACTCAGAAATAGCTATCTAAATCATAAATAACTTCTATAAAAGAAG